GGAGGTTTTTTTTTTTTTTTTTTTTTTTGGCCCTGGGTGGGGGAAGGAGGGCGGAGGGCGGAGGGCGGGCGCTAGCTGCACGCGGGAGCCGGGAGCAGTCTCTCGCGTGGGCAGGGGAGGGCGCGCGCCGCGGAGCCGGGTTGCAGGGGCTGGGGGAGGGGGCTAGGAGGAAGAGGAGGAGCGAACACCCACCGACCCTTTAAGTCTGCAGGGGTCCTGGCAGGGTCTCTGAGAGTGTGGACTTGTGCCCCCTCCCCTCTGGGGGAGGGAGGAGTAGAAAGTCCCTCACCTCTCGCCTGCCTGAGTGGGGACTGGTATCTCTTGTAAAGGGTGAGGTGGCTTTGATCCCGGGGTGCCCGGCCAGCGCGACCGAGGAGGTGGCTGGACTGGCTGGACGGCTGGAGAATGAACGGAGAGGCCGACTGCCCCACAGACCTGGAAATGGCCGCCCCCAAAGGCCAAGGTAGGAATCCCAACCTCAGTCCTCAACTTCACCCCCCCACCCCTTTCCACAAGGGCCCACTCCCTTTCCTAAAGGGTTTATCCAGTCTGCCTTCTCTGCACTGAGCTGGGACGCAAGGTCTTCAGGGTTCTCCAAAGTCAAGCATCCTCACACTAGGGGTTTTGACTGAGCAAATTATCTGGCCTTGAGCCTGTAGATGGTGTTTTCACATTCTTGTCCCCCCACCTATCTAGAGAGAGAGAAGCCCAGTCAAGCCTTCCTTCTGGGTTCCCAGAACAGGGTATACGCCAGTCCAGTGTCAGAGTGGGAGAAACGGGGGTGGGGGGGAGAAGAAGCAGACCCAGGACACTTGTGGATTTTTTGGTGATTGTTCAGAGAACAAGATTTTTGCTGAGGCAGGTTGGAGGTAAAGGGCGTTTGGCTTGCAACCCCATGCCATGGGCCACACTGCTGGGACTGCATCCAGTAGCGATCTAGCGAGGACAGGGCCAGGGTGGGGTGCACTGAGCATCGGGCAGTGCCTGTGGGACACTGGGAGGGGAGAGGACTGTGGGTCTGTGTGACCCGCTCTTTGGAAACCCTGGCCCAAGCCACCAGATGCACATGCAAATGAAAAGCCCTGGCCTTCCTGGGGCTGTATTTCTACTTAGTTTCATTTCTATGAAAACAGCTAGTCCAGACCCCCTAGCCCATAGGGAGATGGTGGCTGAGGAGAACACTCAGAACTGAGGGTTCTCTGCCTGGGCCCACATGCCCCCCCCCATGCCTTACAGCTATCCTGTGTGCTTTTTCATTTCCATTCCATTTTTTCTTGACCAAAATTCTCCTTTAGTCTTTGAAGGGACCCTAAGGGGCAGGGTGATGGAGTGTCTAGGTCTCAGCTCACTTCTAGCTGTGTTGGCAAGAAACATCCATTTGGTTTCTCCACACTGCCCACACCTTGTTCTCAGGCCTTACACATTTGGGCATCCACCTAGAACTTGGACTTGAAATTGGTGACATTTAGCTGCGTTGGACTTGAAACGGACTTGACATTTAGATGTGTTTACCTCTCTGCTTCTCCCCCTCTTTGATAAGCCGCCTGTTTTGCCACAGAGTGCCCTAAATCACAGACGCTCCCTTCCCTGTCTTACAATAAATAGTGGCCTTGGCAGTGTGGCACGTCAGAAGTAATGTTAGCTCTGGAGTAAGCCAGACCTGAGTTCAAGTCTAGCTTTCTAGGTATGATCCTGTCTGGACTGGGGTCCCAGCTCTAATCCTTGTGACCCTAATTTTTCTTTAGGGGTAGACCATGTCTTGTCTGTGCCTTCAGATGGGAGGTAACGAGTAATTGGGGCCTTCGGGGGAGAAAGGGTTGAGTGCCTAAGGACTGAGAAAGGATGGGGGAATAGCGTGAACCTTGCGTGATTGCCTGTGTCACCCCCCGCCAGACCGCTGGTCCCAGGAAGACATGCTGACTTTGCTGGAATGCATGAAGAACAACCTTCCGTCAAATGATAGCTCCAAGTTCAAAACCACCGAGTCACATATGGACTGGGAAAAAGTAGCATTTAAAGACTTTTCTGGAGACATGTGCAAGCATAAGTGGGTGGAGATTTCTAATGAGGTAATTGACCCCCCCTTTCCTAATAGACATCCACATGTACCCTTGCCTCAAGCTTTCTGATGGGGGAGATGAAACAAGTCTGGAAAGAGGAAGGAAAGAGATCAAGCGAGGTGCTTATGCGGTCACCCGGGTGCATTTTGGGAGGTGGCCCAGCATTCTCAGTTCTGTCATTTTGCTATGTGGCCTTGAACTCTTGCCATCTTGGAGTTTCTGTCACCTGGGGTTGTTCTGGGGGTTGAGTGAGGTGCGGCACAGACAGCCACAACCTCGTTGGTATCCTTCGGTGCAGTGTACTGACTGCCTGGGACTCTGGAGTTGGCAGGGGCCAGTGCCTGGGTGTCTGCCTGGGTGCCAGGGACTCCTTGGCCTCTGCCCCCCTTCCTTAGATAACTTCAGTCCAGTGGAAAGTGGTGGGGACGCACTGGACAGTGGTGCACTCCTGGGTGGTATTTTCATCTGCTGAAATTCCCCTTGCGTTCATCTCCTTTTTTACTTCCAGGTGAGAAAATTCCGCACATTGACAGAACTAATCCTTGACGCTCAGGAACATGTCAAGAATCCCTACAAAGGCAAAAAGCTCAAGGTGAGTGACAGGGAGGAGCCCGAGGGGTAAGAGAGTGGTCCGCAGAATGGACGGTGTCTAACCTTCACCCTTCCCTTTTCCCTCCTTCTAGAAACACCCAGACTTCCCAAAGAAGCCCTTGACCCCTTACTTTCGCTTTTTCATGGAGAAGCGGGCCAAGTATGCTAAACTCCATCCTGAGATGAGCAACCTGGACCTAACCAAGATTCTGTCCAAGAAATACAAGGAGCTGCCAGAGAAGAAGAAGGTGGGAGGAGGGGACAGACTGGGAGCGGCTGGTGGGACGGACAAGGGGTTTAGACATGGGGACATGGGCAGGTCAGCAGCGCAGAGTAGGGTCTTGAGCAGCCACACCTCTCACCCCTCCCAGGCCCACACACCGTCATGCTGGGCATTGTCACCCAGACTGAGGCAGGCACTCGGACCAGCCTTTTGCCCCGTGGAGAATTCCTAGAGCTCTTCTCCTACGCACGTGTCCTCGTTAGGTTCCTCAGCAGCTCTTCACCCTCCCAACACGGTCACGTTTGATGTTCGCAGTATCCTCATAAAGGTAACCCCAGAAGGGGGTTATCCCGATTTTGTGGGCAAAGCGCTGACGTGCAGGAGGGTGTTGTGTCCTAGGCCACACAGCTCATGATGCTAGAGCAGGACTTGGGGTTAGCGCTCCAGACCCCCGGTCTAGCACTCTCCTCCCTGTCACGTCCACACGCTAGATGGACTTCCTTCCCCCAGGCACACCTGTTCACCCAGACACAGCTCTCCTACGGCCTCGTGCTGTGCCAGACCATCTGAGACCCTTGGCTTGGGGCAGGGATGGACACGGCCTTCCCTGTGAGGGCGTGTGGTCTCACACGGGTCAGCAGCAAAGCCTTGGAGCCTGCAGGTGGGACTCTGGTGAGGCAAGTTAGGGAGAGAGATGGCCGCAGAGAGGAGGTCCTGGCGGGGAGAGATGTGGGTGAGTGGTGTCAGGAGAAATGGGAGGCACGTCTGCTAGGAAAGGAGACGGAAGTGTGCGTGGCCCCCTTCTGGTGGGGGCACCGGTCATTGCTCTGTGAATGGCCCTTTCCCTGGTGTGTCCCCCTGACTGCAGCTCACCTGCCGTGGGTTCTGTACCCGTAAATGCTCAGAGCCAGCTCAGCTGGGTAACACTGAGGACCAAGCTGAGCGGGAGCGGGACTTGCTGGAGCTATTCTTGACACCTTTGATGGGGATGTCCAGTGTTGGCTGGACATGCAGCACCCAGACACTCAGAGGATGGGGGGCAGAGGCAGAGGGCACAGCTCCAGGGAAGGGCAGAAGAAGCTCCATGGTAAGATGGACAGGGCGTGGGCCTGGGGACACATGACCCGGGCCTGTTCTGGCTCCATCGTTTGCTGTAGCGTGCCCTGAGGTAAGTCGCTGCGCTTCTCCAGGCTTAGTTTTACCTGAGGTGTGGAGGGTGGGCCTGAGCTGTGCGGTACCTTCCAGCTCTAAAAGCTGCTATTTCATCTGTGGAAGACTGAGATTAGGGCAGAGACTGGCCTCTGCCCCACGGAAAGTGAGGCTGCCAGCCTGCCTGCCCTGGTGCCTGCGGGAGGCAGGGGTGGGGCTCAGGCGTGAGAGCCCCTGGCCTCTTGCTAATCTGGGGAGATGAGTGAGAAGGGAGAGGGGATGTTGCTTGTGAGTCAGGACAGGGTGAGAGGAATGAAAAAGACAGACTGGAAAGGAGGGAAAAGTGTGGAGCGTGGAGCGGTAGGAAGGGGCTGGGCGGTAGGAAGGGGCTGGGCCTGGTGGTGCCAAGGGAGTGGGGGTGGGGGGATAGAGGAGCAGGGCAGGGGGAGGAGGGCACGGTGAGGAGCCGAATAGCCCCGAGCCCAGGTGAGAGGGTTAGAGGAGGGGACAACATGGTGGCTCGAGGGGAGGCAGGTGGTATCAGCTGAGGGACCCAGAGAAGGGATGGGGGCGTTCAGATAGGTCTGTCAGGAGGCGTGCACTGCAAGAATTCATCCTGGGTTCTCTCCAACCTTCTGTGCCTTGAAAGGCAGGACTCAAGTGTCCCCCGGCCCTGTGTGCGCCCTGTGAGGGGCAGGCCATTGTCGGCTGAGCTGCCACCGATGCCAGAAAAGGGACCGACACCTCCTGACTCCTCGTTACGGGACGTGGGGGAGGGGTCCCAGTAGGGGAGTCCAGCCCTATTACTGCTCACCGGGTGTGGCTGGGTACGGCATCCCCCCAGCCCCCCGCCATGAGACTGTTCCTGTTGCAAAGAGGGAATAAATTCAGATGTGTTTGGGGAGGCCCCTGTGGCTCCCATTGTGGTTCTAAGCCAATAGTCAGGGCTGTGGTTGAGCCCACCGGGAGGCAGTCTGTGACGGCCTGCTGGCTCCCCCCATTCTCTGTTCACTCGTGTCACCAAGTGGACAGCAAAGTAGCTAGCCAGGAGGACTCTGGGTGGCTTTTATAACTCGGGCCTTGGGTCGTGGATGACCCCGTGACCTCCTCCCCCCAGATGAAATATATTCAGGACTTCCAGAGAGAGAAACAGGAGTTCGAGAGAAATCTGGCCCGCTTCAGGTAAGGCAGTGGATGGAGCCCAGAGGAGGGCCACAGGGTGCTGGGTGTGGCAGGATAGGCTGGCACTGACCAGAACCTCGAGCTTGCCATCCCTGACGCATGGAAGATGGATGGGACACATGTGAGACCTTAGCAGACCATGCGCAAGGGTAGGGGTGGGCAGGTAGCTGCTGCCTCCAAGCCCAGGCTGGCCTAGGAACCTGGTGGGCGGGGCAGCTAGCTTGGGTCTCCCAGACAGGGGCCCCCCTCCACCCACTGATCGTTGCTCCCCACACACTGGCTAGGGAGGATCACCCAGACCTAATCCAGAATGCCAAGAAGTCGGACATCCCCGAGAAACCCAAAACCCCCCAGCAGCTGTGGTACACCCACGAGAAGAAGGTGTATCTCAAAGTCCGGCCAGATGTGAGTGTCCGGCCAGGGGGTGGGGGTGGAGGGCACACAGCGGTGGTAAGGGGGGAGCCGCGCCAGGTCGGCTGGGCACGCACGGTGCAGGGGAGCAGGAGAGGAGGCCCCTCCCCAGGGGTGGGCTGCATGGACAGGGCCTGGGCCAGCTGGCGTGCGAGCGTGTGCGTGCGTGCGTGTATGAGCCTGTCCCCTTGCACCCAGGCGGGACCCCCACCTCTCCGCCTTCCCCTCCTGGTCTGTGGGGGACACTCACGTGACCTCCTGTGGCCTGAGGGGGCGGGGGCCTTGTGCCCCCCTCCCCCGCCCCTGCCCTTGCCCCTGGCTGCCTGTGTGTGTCTGACGGCTTTTGGTTTGCAGGCCACTACGAAGGAGGTGAAGGACTCCCTGGGGAAGCAGTGGTCTCAGCTCTCGGACAAAAAGAGGCTGAAATGGATTCATAAGGCCCTGGAGCAGCGGAAGGAGTACGAGGTTAGGCTTCCGCTGCGCTCCGCCCCGTCCGGCTCTTCACGGGCCTCTGCCCTCTGACTCTGGCCTCCGCACTCTGCGGGAGGCGGTCACTCCCCACCTCCCGTTGAGGGAGGGGCCTTCTGGGCCCCTCGCCTCTGTCCCTACTCCTCCCCCACCCATGAGATCTCAGGCTAGGGCAGGGCAGGGCACCACGGCTCGTCTCGTCTCGTGTGACAGCAGACACACGGCAGCCCCCAGCTTTGCTCCCTGCCTCCCCTCCCCAGCGGCTCTCCCCCTCCCCTGCCCAGCTAACCCCACACCCCGTTGCCCTCCATCCCCCCACCTCACTCTGCAGGAGATTATGCGAGACTATATCCAGAAGCACCCCGAACTGAATATCAGTGAGGAGGGCATCACCAAGTCCACCCTCACCAAGGCCGAACGCCAGCTCAAGGACAAGTTTGACGGGCGACCCACCAAGCCACCTCCGTGAGCACTGCCCTGGGTGGGTGGGTGGGTGGGTGGGCAGTTGGCAGCTGGGACCTGGGCCTACGCCCAGTCTCTTGAGAGTGAAAGCCTGCTACCCTACCCAGGGCTCCCCGGTTGCTCACCGGGGCGCCCCTCCTCTCCTGCTGGCGTTGACAGGAACAGCTACTCGCTGTACTGCGCAGAGCTGATGGCCAACATGAAGGACGTGCCCAGCACAGAGCGCATGGTGCTGTGCAGTCAGCAGTGGAAGCTGCTCTCTCAGAAGGAGAAGGACGCCTATCACAAGAAGTGCGACCAGGTGAACTCTGGCGGGAAGGACCCTGAACTCAGGGCTTTGAGGCCTGAGGTCTGACCCTAGCTATGGTCAGTCAGACGTGTCTTTGGCACCGGCTTCAAACGTGGTCTTTTGCTAGGTTCAGCATCTGGGCTGATCGAGGGCAGACAGTCTCGGGCTCCGTGCTTAACACCTGTTGGAGTGTGATTAAGCCTCACAGAGGCTCTGGACAGCTTGCTGCGGGCTGCTGTTCCCTCTAGAGGGTCGCCAGTGAGGCTGCCCTCAGACTGACCCAAAATACCCTTCCTTTCCCAGAAAAAGAAGGATTACGAGGTGGAATTGCTCCGTTTTCTGGAGGTGAGTCTCCGTGCATGGGACCGTGGCAGAGAAGCCTGGGGGTGGGTGGTCGAGGCGTGGTGGCCACCCTGGGAGCAGACAGAGGGCCAGGCGTGTACCCCATGCCACCTCTTCTCCCTGGACCAGAGCCTGCCCGAGGAGGAGCAGCAGCGAGTCCTGGGAGAGGAGAAGATGTTGAACATCAACAAGAAGCAAGCCACCAGCCCTGCCTCCAAGAAGCCCTCCCAGGAAGGGGGCAAGGTAGGCGGGGAGCATGACTGAGCAGGTTGGGTGGGGTGAGGACCGGGCTCCGTCAGCACTGGGTGGACCCCAGCGCTCTCTGCACGTCTACAGGGTGGCTCGGAGAAGCCCAAGCGACCCGTATCAGCCATGTTCATCTTCTCTGAAGAGAAGCGGCGGCAGCTGCAGGAGGAACGGCCAGAGCTCTCAGAGAGCGAGCTGACCCGCTTGCTGGCCCGCATGTGGAACGACCTATCGGAGAAGAAGAAGGTCAGATTTGCCAGAACGGAGGCCTGCCGGGCCCCAGCCTGGACCATTTTGCTCTAAGGGCGAGCTGCATTTCCTCAGACGCTGCACGTGTGCTCTGTCGGGCTCAGATGGTGGGGCTGGGAGCCAGCAAAGCCGGAAGGCGGGAAGCTGTCAGCTGAGGGCGGTCGTTCCCCTGGGAGCTGGTTGATGATGCTGGAGACTGCACAGCCCTGGCCTCTGCTTGCCGGGCTCTTGCAGTGTCCGGCAGAGCTTTCAACTGCTGGATGGGGAGCGCGCGCCCCCTGGGGGTGGCCAGGAAGCATAACACCCCGTGCATTCCTTGGCAGGCCAAGTACAAGGCCCGGGAAGCAGCACTGAAGGCCCAGTCGGAGAGGAAGCCCGGGGGGGAGCGCGAAGACCGGGGCAAGCTGCCAGAGTCACCCAAGAGAGCCGAGGAGATCTGGCAACAGAGCGTCATCGGCGACTACCTGGCCCGCTTCAAGGTGGGAAGGGGGTGGTTCTGCAGCTTGCCCATGCTGGCCTTCAGCCCCAGATGACCCTCCCACACCTGATACCCCTGTCTGTCCCCAGAATGACCGAGTGAAGGCCTTGAAAGCCATGGAGATGACATGGAACAACATGGAGAAGAAGGAGAAACTGATGTGGATTAAGAAGGCAGCTGAAGACCAAAAGCGCTATGAGGTGACAGAGGGGCTGCTGGCTAGCGGGGCAGGGGGTTGGGGGACACCTGCCTCCTCAAGAGCCCTGTTTGGGGTGGGCAACTCTTGCTCATTGTGTGGAGCTTGGCACTGGAAGCCCCACCCAGCCTTGGTGGTTTGACCCTGAACAAGCCACTTAACTTCCTCCTCCAAGGCTCAGTTGCACCTTAGTAAAACGGGGCTGACACTGATCATCACAAGTGTGATTTTGAAAGCACTTTTTTTTTTTTAAGATTTATGCATATAAGAACTGGGGTGCAGGCCAGAGATGCGGGGGGTGAGAGGACTCACCAGAGACAGTGGGGAGCAGAACAGGCAGATCTGCTGAAATGTAGTGCTGAGGGGAGCAGTGGGGAGATGGGAGAGGTCTGCCGCGCCATGTGGGGATTGAACTCACACTACTGCAGCTCAGTAGTGCTGAGACTTGACCCCTTGTGCCACCAGAGAGGCCTCATTGAAAGCACTTTTAATCAGCAGTGCCCAGCACAGGTGGGAGTTGTTGAAGTGTCTCCCTGGCTCTGCCTCAGTTTCTCCTTTGTATAAAAGGAGAGTCGGCAAGGCACTAATGGCGTGGGGTGAGAGGTCAGCCTGTTTTAGGAGCTGGGGTTGGGGTGAGTGACGTTCCTGGTTTTCCTGCAGAGAGAGCTGAGTGAGATGCGGGCACCCCCTGCTGCTGCAAACTCATCCAAGAAAATGAAGTTCCAAGGAGAACCCAAGAAGCCTCCCATGTGAGTCTGGGGGCTTGAGCCCAGCCTGGGGTGGGGACAGTCAGCTAGAAGGTTGCCTGGCTGGTATTCTGACCTTCCTTGCACCCCCTGCACCCCAGGAATGGTTACCAGAAGTTCTCTCAGGAGCTGCTGTCCAACGGTGAGCTGAACCACCTGCCGCTGAAGGAGCGCATGGTAGAGATTGGCAGCCGCTGGCAGCGCATCTCCCAAAGCCAGAAGGAGCACTACAAAAAGCTGGCCGAAGAGCAGCAGAAGCAGTACAAGGTGCACCTGGATCTCTGGGTAAAGGTGAGAGGCAGAGACCCGTTGGAAGGAGAGGGCTCCGGGCGGCTGGGGTGCGTCCCCGGTCTCAGGGCGCGTCCGTCCTGCAGGGGAGAGATTATTGCTGAAGATCAGCGGCTCCCCCTCCCGCCTGTGAGCTCCCCTCTGCTTCATTGAGGCGTTCAGATCTGTAAAACGGGGAGAACCGCCTATAGTCCCCCACCACCACCCTCACAGGTTGGCTGAGGACCCAGGGGACAGCAGGGTTCAGGTGTTCCAGAAGTTGGGCAAGCCCCAGGCTTGCCAGGTCCACAGCTCTGGGCTGGGTGTTAGAGTGGGGGTGATGCCACCAAGCTGCATGACTCACGGCGGGTGGGGAGGCTTCCCCAAGTGGAGGAGGACCCTGACTCCGGGGTCCGAGTACAGTGAGAGCAACAGGAAAGACGTGCAACCCAGAAGTCATACGAGAGGGCAGCTTAGGGAAGGACTGAGGGCAGCTGGAAGCAGAAATACCAGGAGCCGTGTTTTTGGATCCCGGGGCTCTCCGCTGAGGCCCGAGGTATGGGGCTGCGGGGGGCCAGGTGTAAAATGGAATGACGAGACCCTCTGCATAGCACTCGGTTGCCTTCCGACCATCCCCCCTGCTCTGTCTCCCCCAGAGTCTGTCTCCCCAGGACCGCGCAGCATACAAAGAGTACATCTCCAATGTGAGTCTGGCCTGGGGACAGGGTGGGGCTGGGCACCGGGAGGTGGGGGGCTGTGGAACTCACAGTGGTCCTCTTTGCCTGTACCCATCCTCTCCTACAGAAACGTAAGAGTATGACCAAGCTTCGAGGCCCGAACCCCAAGTCCAGCCGGACGACCTTGCAGTCCAAGTCGGTAAGGAGGCCCTCCAGATGGCCGGGTGGGGGGGCGGGCCTGGGAGGGACGTGACGTGAGCCGCCGTCCCTCCAGGAGTCTGAGGAGGAGGACGAAGAGGACGAAGAGGATGAGGATGAGGATGAAGAAGACGACGACGACGAGAACGGGGACTCCTCGGAGGATGGCGGGGACTCCTCCGAGTCCAGCAGTGAAGATGAGAGCGAGGACGGGGATGAGGTGCGGCCACAGGCTGGTGGGAGCGGAGGGTGGGGACAGGCCTGCGGGGAGGGCCACCTGGTGAAGTGCCCCCTCCCCCCAGAACGAGGAGGACGACGACGACGACGAGGATGACGAGGACGACGACGAGGACGACGACAACGAGTCTGAGGGCAGCAGCTCCAGCTCCTCCTCCTCAGGGGACTCCTCAGACTCTGACTCCAACTGAGGCTCGGCCCCGCTGGGCGCCCTCCCCACTGACCACCTTTGTTTCTCCCCCATGTCCTGTCCCCTGACCCCTGGGCTCCCCCACTTTCTTTCTTTCTTTTCTTTCTTTTTTTAAACAACGAATGGTGGGGGGAGGGGCTGGAGGAACCCAGGCCAGGACTCTGCAGCCTCAGAGACTTCAGCCCTGGGGGCCCTCCGGGGGGCACAGCCCGCAGCCTGAGCCACCATGGACTGGCCCAGCCTACCCCTCTTCTGCACTTGCGGTTCCGGCATGGACAATGGACCTAGGCTGGGGTGGGGAGGTCCCAAAGAGTTTAGTGAGGCCCTGCACACCTGCAGCCCAGCCCTCGGGTGGGTAGAACTTGGGGAGGACCCTCCCCAGAGGGGCTTGCTGCCTGGACCCCTGCATTGGAACTGGAGGCAGGGAAGATGTGGGGAGAGGAGGGCAGGTGCCTGTGAGAAAATGGGCACTGCCCCACAGCCCTCTCCCCTGCCCCTGCAGGAAGGAGCTGCCTGGACCCACTCCTGGGGGAGGGGCAGAAGTGTTTTTTATATATGTGTATATATATTTTTTTTTTAAGCTCTGAGCTGTCAACGAGACGTTTCCTACCGATCTCGGCTGCCGTCTCTGTTGTCATTTCTGGGAGAGGGAGGGTTTAGGGGGTAGGTCTGGGACTTTTTTAAAACGGTCTTGATGCATATGGAAAAGTGTGTGTGCGTGTGTGCGTGCGTGCGTGTGTCCTGTACATAACATGGGTGCACCTGTGGATGTATGTGTGTGAGTGTGTGAGAGCGAGAAGGGGGCACTCACCTCAGTCTGAATCTGTAAAAGGGTTGGGGGCCAGGGAAACGCTGGTCCTGGGGGGAACAGGCTGGGGCAGCCCCTTTCTCCGCATCCTCTGCTTTGCCTAATATCTGGTTTTGGGGGGTGTACTGAAGCCACTCTCTGCTTCCTATCCCGGCTTCCCTCTGCCAGGGCTACGTGACTGAGCTGTTGCTGGTCTCCGGTGTCCAGCAGGGTGGTGGGAAGGGCACAGACAGGTGAACCTGAAAGCTCTTACTGGGTGGGCAAGGCCTCGGCCGCTCATCCCAGGCCTGCCTGGCCGCCCTAAGCTCAGCCCGGGCTTCAAGGACTGTGGTGGAAGCTCTTACCTACACCTCTCCTGCCTTTCCCCCTTATCTCCCGGCCCCCTTTCCTTTGATTTCTCAGGTCTGCTCCCTTCCCCACTCCTAAACCCACAGCTGGGGAAGAGGTCTGCAAAAGCTGCTTTTGCAGCTGTCCCTCTAACCCTTTCCAGCCATCCCCAAATTTTTGGAACCCGGGTTCCTAGACTCTTAAGAAGCAAGCCACCTTGTGTCTGTGCATTTAACTTTCTTGTATTTGATTAAATTTTGGCCTCCCCCACTCCCTCCCCCCCAATCATGTCAGTGACCTATTTAATAGGGTTGTGTGCTTTTCCACCTCCTCCGAAGGAAAGCCATGGGGTGGGGAGAGTGGGAACTGCCTCCGGGCTGGGGTGGGAACCGTGGGTCCCTGCTCCCAAAGGGAGGCAGACAACTTGCCTTGGACATGGTGCTGGGGGTGGGGGGCCGGGGAGGTACACTCCCTACTCCCACTCCCTTTGTCCTGATCCTGGAATTAGGTACAGGGGCTCCTAGGTTCTATTCCCCAGATCCCCTGCAAAGAACCCCATTTCCCTGTTTGAATGCCCCTACACTGTTGTGTTTTAGTGGAATGTGTTTTCATTTAAAAGCAACTTTGGGGCACTTTTTTTTTTTCCTGTTTTGAAAATTGAGAAATTCTTACAGTACGAACTGGGCTGTGGGAGTGGGGGTGTTGGTGCTGTGAGAGGTCACTCTGAGTGCATTTTGGCACTGGGATGGGATGGCTGGGGTGGGAGGGCCCCCACTCCCCCCCTTTTTTTTTTTCTAATATTTAAGGAGTGTTTTTGTAGGTTTCAACAACAACTACAACTTGAATTTGTATCATGGGAGGCGGGAGGGAGTGGCTTAGAGGTGTCTGCCTAAGCTTAAGGCCAACTGTGGAAGTTTTGTTTTCCCTTTTTTTTGTACAATAAAGTGAAAAACAAAGGTTTGCCTACTGTCTGGTCACTGGAATCGAAGATGGAGGCCCTGGGTGGCCCAACAGATTCAATGTAGAAAGCCAGCTAGCTGGCTTACCCCTTTCTGGAACCATCCTAAAGATTCCATGATAGACCTACATTCATGTTCTTCTGTGCTACTATTGCCCTTAATTCAGTTTGCTTATCTTGGGTTCAGACCACTGAAGACTGAACAAATATATTTCCCGCCTGGGAAATTGGGTCTTGAACTATAGGGAAGGGTTTGCTCCAGTCGTACAGAGATGGGGTAACCCTTGCTCTGTGAACCCTAAGTGTGACCCAGGGTTAGGAGCAACTCTCCCAGCTCTACTTAGTCTACAGGTAAGAAACTTGCTGGGCCATAAGGACTATGTGTGGTTAAAGAAGACAGACTTACCTGCACAGGCCTTGTCTGGGTTCCTGGAACTAAGGGCCAAGACCTAGACCTGTCTTAGAGTTTCCCCTTAACTTGACATTCCTCTCCTTGGCCAACCTGAAAAACTCACTATTCCTCATGGTCTCCCGTTTCCTCACCGCCCACTCATGGTTCCTCCTGGGTGACTTTAAGGTCCCCAACATGTTCATCGTGTTTCTTGCCATCTAAGTATTAGATCTGCTGGCATTAGGTCCTCCTCCTTTTGATCCTACTTGCTCTGAGCCTCCAGATTACCCAAAACTATCCAAAAGGTGGTGTTTACAGAAACTGCTCTTCCAAGCTACAGCCCTCTGTGGACACCTGTGTCTCCTCTGAGATACCTTGCAGACACCTTATACCTCAAGATCCAAAATAATCACCAACCTTCTCGTTTTTCAGTCCAGAATCCAGGGCATCAGCCTTGAATCCTCTCCTTTCAGCTACACCTTCATTCAGTGGCCAAGACCTGTCCATTCCACTTGTGTGTCTCTCTGAAATCTGTCTATGCTCTCCACTCCTGCCCCCCCCATCCTGTTTAATGCTTCCATAATGCTCTGCAAAGACCTAAAACTGGTCTTCCTGCCCGTGCTCTTGTCCCCTCGTTGATTTTCCACACAGCAGTCAAAGCGGTCATTTCAAAACAAATCTGATTTACTTCTGTACTTACAACTCGGCATCTCTTACCACAGCCCAAAGCTTGGTTGTCCCTGTTTCACTTCCACCTTCTCTCATCCCACTCTCCCTAATTCACAGGGATCCATTCAAGTGAACTCTTGTTTGTTCAAACATGTATACCACAGGGTCTTTCTCTTGTCCTCTTTGCCACCATTCTATCCCCCCAACACTTCACATCACTGGTTTCTCATCCTTCATGCCTCACTCAAAGGTCCCTTCACAAGCAGGCCCTCCCTGACCACCATTTTGAGAGCATTCTCTCTTCTCTAGCTCCACAACTATGGACATTTACTTGTTTATTGTCTATCTCCTTAAGTAGAAGACACTTGACCCGCCGCCTTGTTACAGAAATCCCACACCCTAAAATTAACCAGTGCTCATCTGACACTCAGAAACAAAACATGGAAAATAGGTAAGTATGTCCCCCCGCCCCCGAGACCCTGGGGATCCCCTTCTGGTCTCTGTTCCAATTCTAGCTATACCAGCTATCCATGTCTTGAAACATACCACCCTTTGCCTTGTGTATGTACATACATGTAGCCATGCCCTCTCCCTAGAATGCTTCTCTTCACCTCTCTGCGTCATAACTCAGGGCAACACTTAAAAGGTCACTTTTTCAGAAGAGTGGGGTGGGGCACCCCCATGAAAAGTTCTCTGTCATTTATTTTTTCAGCAACCTGTATGCCTTAATATGCACATCAGGCTCTGTCGGGCTGTGTAAGTGCTAGGACAGGGTCTGTGTGTCTCTCTGGCTTACTGCTACAACCCCAGGCCTCACCCAGAGCCTGGGAGAGCACAGTCTTTAGTATTTACTGACTGTGGAGATTGGGCATGGGCCCAACGTGGTCACAACCACAGAGCAGCACAGACCATGTGCCAAATGAACAGTATAACCCAGCTGTAAAGGAGTTTGGTGTGAGAATGGCCACGGGTGGGGAAGTGAGGAAGGATTAAGGTAAACAGGGAGGAGACAGGAAGGCTTCCCGGGCATAGTAAATTCCTTAGGCAGGTTGTGCTGGGCATATTTAGAGACTGAGAAACAGATCTGTATCACTAGCATGGAGAATTCCGGATTCACATTATGGAGGCTCCTAAAAGCCTGGTCCCTCAGTCCCTTGCTCGGGACCGAAGGTAAACCACCGTCTGAGTTTCCACTAACTGTATCAACAGGAAGTCTAACATATCCCAGACTGAACTTGCCACTGTGTATTCTCACATATTCTCAGAGGTTCCAATCTGGTTAGTGTTTTCAAGGTCTCTTTCCTTTACTCCATTCACCACAATTAATCCTGAAAACCCTTTTAGGTATTTCCCAGATGCCGCACTCCGGAGTGACTAAAAGGCAAGTCTTTCCAAAGTACTCCTGCTTACCTCCACTGCCTCCCCACCGATTGCTGTTTTATCTAGTTCCCAGACTGCTGCATGGTCCTAAAGTCTTTCCTGACATCACTGGAGCCCCCCTGGCCATCTTCTATCTCCCTCTGCACTCCTCCCTTTTCTTTATCATATTATTTGGCAATTATTTTTCTACTGTCTATAAGTTGTAATTTTTAAAAGTTATTTATTTATGCATATAAGAGCTGGGGTGTAGGCCAGAGGTGTGGGGGATGAGAGGGTTCATCAGAGACAGAGTGGGGGAGCAGAACAGGTAGGTCTACTGAAACACACTGCTGAAGGGAGCAGCAAGTGGGACAGGAGAGGTCTGCTGTGCCATGTGGGTCAGCTCCCTGGCAGGGGATATAACTAGTGCCTAATGCAACAGTGACTGTAAATAGCTTCATAGTGCCTAGACTTAACCGCTTGTGCCACTAGGGAGGACCAAGTTGCAAATTTCTTGGAGTCACAACTGTCTTAGTTTCATTTTTTTTTTTGCACGTGTGCCCTTGTAAGAATTCTTACAGAGCACAGTAATAAGATTTATCAAGCATCCCCACGAGCTACGTTTTCACATGCACTGACTTGTCAATCCTCACAACAACCTAATGAGATAGGTACTCTCATTCTCTCATTATAACTGTTGACAGCAAAGGAAACTGGAGCAACATTGATTTGCCCAAGCTCCATTTGTTAAAAGCCCACAGATTTAAATTCAGATGTGACTCCTGGTCTTGGGCTCTCACCGCAATAAATGTTTGCTGAGGACTAAAGAGCCAATGGTAGTACCAAAATATGTGACATAAGTCTTTCCCCTTTAATCTTATCTCCTGAGGGAGGGGGTCTGCCATATGCCCAGGACTCCAGACAGAGTCCCCAGAGACGGAAGCGTCTGTGTAGGCATCTAGGCCCTTTCCTCGGGGAGGTAAAGCAGGACTGCGAAAGCTGGCGAATATGGGCACACCCAGGGAAGTAGTATCGGCTCGGGGGAAGGGTCTGGTCAGTGCCAGGCAGACTGAGAGGTGGTGGGTTCCGGAAGCAGGAAAGGCGAGCAGGTGTCGGGTCTAAATTAAGATGAGAGCGGGGAGGACGCTCCGCTACGAAAGGCGCAGCTCAGCCCCCGCCTTCAGCGGGGGACCCTCATTCCGGCGTTTGTTGATTCAATGGCCTGGACTGGGCCAACACTCGCACAGAAACGGGAAACGGAGGTTCGGACGGGCCCCTTCGGCTTCATGGCTTTTCTAGCCAGAGGTGCTAACTGCGCCCCACTTCAACTCTTGGCCACTTCACAGAAGTGGCAGCCCGCTTCGGGGTAAACGCCGGGGTGGAGGGGTTGAGTTGAAAGTGTGTGCGGTGGGGGAAGAGTCGGGAGTCCGGAGGGAAGGGCGGGGGAGCCTGGGCCGGAAGGCGTCCCAGGCTCGGCTGGGAGACGGCGCTCTCTTTCGACGCCACCCGCTGCCCCCGCCCCGGAGCCGGCCGGGACGGCACAAGGTCTCCGCCCCTTGCGCACCGCGCACCTCACCTTGAACGGCGCTCCACCCACCGCCGTCCTATTGGGCCGGCCGGGCCGAGAGGAGACGGCGATTGGCCGAGGTGACTCCCGAAGGCTCCGCCCATCTCCCCGCCCCCGTCCCCGTCCACCGGTACTTTGGACGGCGGCGTGGCGCCCCTCCTCCCCGCCGGGTCCCCGCCCCCTGGAGCAAATGCTGCCGAGCTGCGGCCGCGGGGCAGATGCACGCGCTCGGGCCCTTCTAGCAGGCGCGAGCAGTCGCTGGGCGCGCGAAAGCGAAAGAAGGAAGAGGAAGGGAGGGCGGGGGCGGGGTGTTGAGGAGGGGCGGGAGGAGGAAGAGGAGGAGGTTGGAGCGCGTTCGCGCTTGGCCTCGCGCCCGCGCGGAGGGAGGGGGAGAGGGGCGCGCGCGCGCACGCTCGCGTTCTCGCTCGCTCCATCCATCCATCCTCCGGTCGCGGCACGCGCGCGCGCTCCGGGCTCGCGCCGCACCCC